GAACAAAGCAAGATGATTCCAAACAGACAGGTTAGATCTCTTCACCATTTATAAAACTGATCTATCAGTTTAGCAAAAATAAAAATTCTCACTTTAATATTGAAATTTGTGATCTGTCTTGTCTTTATTTTCTTTGCTATCCCATATTTCATGAAAATAGTGGCGTGAACTTTTTCGTTGATAACGAAACGTTGAGCAAAAATGAGCAAAAATTGAACTGAGGAAAAATTTCTACAACAACAATATTCAAATCATTCAGTATCAATACTACATTAAAAAACACAAACATCAAAATTCATTCAACTGCTGACGTTTAATGTCAACTACCCACCATGTAAATATTCATTTTCTATATGAGTCATTCTGAATTTTACCATCGTGTCACACCAATTTGAGTGCCAAACGAATCTGCAACTCATGATGACAACAACGGTAAAATAAACTGTTGAAATTTAAAGTCCTTTTATCATTTAGACATTGATAACAAGGAAATGCAAAAAATAGATTAATGCATTTGTAATTTGTCGTTAAAAAATATTCATGATACCTTCTGAGAATATCTGATTAGGGTAAATTAGCAGATATCCAAAAAAAATTTACAATTAAATTGCAAATGTTACATTTTTGTTAATTTGCATAATTGCAAACAACATATAAATGCCATCATAACACATACTAATTGAATGAGCAATATGCATATCTTCCAGATCAAAACCAGAAATTGGAATACAATAGTAACTTATTAAGTTTTAATTCATTTTTTTACTTTTTTCAAAATCATTAAGTTAACTTTTAAGTTGTCAAAAACCGGCCAAATTAAACATTTACAGCACTTCTGATAAGAAATTCATAAATAATATTCATCGAAAATTCTCAAACTTCAACCTTTTTCGGAAAACTTTTAATTCTACTAATTTCAAATTATTCACTTATTCTTTTCTTCCAGGGAATTTTCAAGTCAGTGAAAGTTTAAACGTGCTTTTTATGCACCTTATTTAGATTTTCTTTTTTAGTACTGCAAATAATAATTAAACTTTCATTACAACAAAAATAAAAATACATACGTAAAGAATTCAGAGACGATAAAACAAATTCTAAAGCCTGGAACTACAAATGGTTTATCTTGGCCAGTTGTTCATTTCAATGATTTTGATATTACCTAAGATAGACGTCATGTTGTTTTTGCTGAATCATCTCACCGTTTTGCTGATCGTGATTTTTGGCATGCAATGATTGAGCATCAACTGAATGGGAAGTAAATTTGTTATTCCGGTTCACATTTAAACTTAATTAATTTATTGCTTAATTTAAATTATTCATTCGAGTATTGATAATGGCGATTATGACAATTTCTTGTCATCCAATTTAATTTAAATTCAAGCTTTAATCTGTTATTTTGATTGAGTCTAAAAAAAAATTTTCAACTTGTTTACATATCTTCAAATTGTTTAGATGTCATCGCAATGGTATTTTTATTTTATTCATTCAGTACTTTAAAAATTTCAAAGAGTTAATTCTCTTTTTTATCGAATGATTAAAAATCTTCAAAAATTTCAAAAACATTTAATAATGTATTTTATAGGAAATTATCCCGAGTTTTTCTTTCGTTTTCTTTTTCGCCATTATCAATCGATAAATCTGAAATTTCTGTTAACACTAAGCATTTTTATTATTTTTTATTGAACAGATATTCGAAAAAATGTTCAGTAAAGAAAAGTACTGTATTAATAACATCAATGGATACTGTATGTGGATATTACCCATCAGAAAATACCATACTAATATTTCACACGGACATTTCATGCAAAAAAAAAGAGAAAAAAAAAGATCTAATTAAAAAGCACCATAATAATAGTATCTATTGGCAATATACATAATATTATAGACAGCAAAAAATAATATGTTGATGACAATTCTTGATTATTTCTTTCCCAAATATGGTTTATTACTGCTAATTGATCTAGTTAATGGTGCTATCATTTGAAGTTTTTATGATCTAACTGGTTCAACTTATGGTTCAATTTCGCAAGTAATAATTTTTCTTTTCATTAATTGATAAATTTTGGTCATTTGCCAGGATAGTATCATGATTTTTCACATTCGAATATCTTTGTATATTATGCAAATTTTCCATTTCATTTCGAATAGCTAATAATCATTACAAAAAAAAAATCTTTTCCATTTTGAATTTTTTTGCATCTTTTATATTTGCAATTTGTTTGAATTTAGAATTCAAAACAAATGAATTGATGAAGAATTATTTGTTTTGTATCGAAAATTGATAATTGCAAAATTTAATCCATTATTTACAGTTTATGATAGTGGTTATATTGACGATGTTCATGATGATAATAATAATAATAATAATAATAATAGTAATAATAATAATAATAATAATAGTAATAA